GAGAGGCGTCGGTCGATTCGTCATCGCTCTGGTCGTCAGAATCTTGATCTGACCACCCGAAGAACGATCTATCGTCATTTGGCAGTGCTGACGACTCCGCTGCCGAGAATCCGACAACAATATTTGTGCGAACGAGCGCCTTCGTCCTCCTTCCGCCAGGACTGTCACCTGCGATGATGAGAAAATCGAGACGTGCTGACGTTTTCATCATTTTCTCCGAAAAATTACACAGCACCGAAGGGTGGTTTTAGCAGATCGCGGGCCATTTGGCTTCCTGTGTGGCTATTGCTTCTGTGGATTGGTTTGGAGCAATGTTCAGATAGTCCAGGGCATCTGGCCAATATATAATGGCAGTCCAAGCTAGTTGAATATCCGGATCACTTTTTCTCATCTGGTCTACACTCCATCCGCTTGCATCCGTAAGCAATGCAAACACGTTGTCCCTTGCACATGCGCGTGACTTCTGCTGGCAATTCCGGGAGAGCAAACAATGGCAGAGCGAATATTCCCGTGAAGTTACAACATGATCTGAGTATAATCGTAGGACATCAAGTCTTGACACTACTTGTGACATGATCAATTCTGCTATGCTCTAATGCAGACTAGCAATAAGAGGCATTTATCAGATACTAGTAACCATGAGGTACTGAGACGATTCTCTTTAGCAAACCACCCACTCCGCTATAAATGCTCAAATAATCTGTCATCTGCCTGCTCCAATTTCCTCTTGACAATTGGAAATCGCTGGCGTTGTCTGAGCCATAAACACCATTATTGGCATTAATCCAACGCCTCCCTTGCTCCCCATCTCTGCAGCTCGTAACGATAGGTTTGGCACATCGAAATCTAAATCTAAAACTAAAAAACTTGAAGCTCTTATTAGTTCAAGCTACATTTTCAGAGCCAGTAAGTTGAAAATGGCAAGAAACCCAGCTTCTCTTCACCATTGGCATCACGAGCTATGATCATTATCAGCCAGCAATGTTACTAGAGGAAAGGCACTGGAGTGAACAGAAAGCTTTCCAAGCACCAACGTTACTTTCTCAGCAAGAACAAATAAAAAGAAAGGAACAAAAAAGGAGCAACACCAGGGATTTGTCTATCCGGTACCCGGGTGTGTGTAGCCCCTGGCATGGCGAGGCACTGCCACAGATTCCAGTACAATGGCCACGGACAAGTGTCCCACTGAGATGCGGTCGCTCGTCCGGACCGCTCCGACGTGGACACCTGCGAAGAGCAGCCTGTGACGTTTATTTTTTTATGACAGAAAACTGCAAAAAGAGTTGGGCTTGTCCTTTTAGTCCTACCCCTATGGGCATGGGAGAGAACGCCCACTCGTTCCGTTGTGACAGATTCCAGGGCCACGTTGAGGGCCCTACCCCACCACCCGTGGCTGCTTCTGGACTTGTTTTAGGTTTGGATCCCGCGCACGGACAGAATGGGCACGAAAATGTGAAAAAATTGTAAATGCCTTTTTTTGGCTTCTGGCTGGCTCGAACACCGTGGTACTATGCCGGAATTTTGAGTTTTTCCGGCCTGGAAAGCCTGTCAATGAGGCGCATGAACTTTTAAATCATGTTCAGAGGGCCAGCATAGTGGCAGGAGTGTGTGGTCAACATTTCACTCAAATCCATTGAGAGACACCAAAGTTACGGTCAATTGAATGCCATATGAAATTTTTCGGTGATATGCCACCTTTTAAAGTTTCATGCTTTCACTATCATCAGGCAAGGTCGCCTGATGATAACTTGATTAAGGCGATAAATAGTATAATTGAAGCGGACATTAGGAAATGATCAATGAGAATACATGTACATGTATGTTACAAAAGAGAGAGATTGGAAGATTTGTTACAACTCTGAGTTTCACCTATTACTACCATCATCAGACAACTGATGGATCCAAAACGGGCAGACAGAACATAAGGGGGAGCAAGGTGGGAAATTCTGAGGGGTATCATAGGCGACGCGTATCATAGCGCAAGAGTCAGGTGCAGGCGTGAAGTTGCCAAGTCTTCAGACTTGGGGCTCTGCTGCAGCAGCTCTGGCACTAATGATAATAGAATACAGCTGGGGACGTAAGGAGGCTCCAACCCTTTCGGGGTGATTTTTTCTTCTTCATAAACCCCCTCCTTTTTGTGGATGAGTGTGCTCTAAATGTATATCATCCCATGTTATTCCACAAAAAAATTCAGGGGGTGTTTCCGCGGAGATAAGGCTGTTTGAGGTGTATTTCTAGGGGTGGTTGTATTTATCGATTTCGGCCTAAATTTGCTTGTTTTGTCATATTTCAGATTTACCAGTTGTCTGGCTTCTCCTTGTGATTGCAAGTCCTTTCACACATTACAGTGAAGCATTTGAGCAAGAAAATCTGGCAATCAGCATTGACTAGTCAGAAAAATAGTAATTTTGGTACAAAAATGAACGTCGCAGAAATGCCCGTCCGCAAAGTACACTTGGGTGCACAGCTTCATAATGTCTTCATGGACATGCCCTTTTTATTTTATTTTTGGGATCCTCATACTTCATAGAAACTAGAAAAATATAATTTTAGGGGGTTACCGTGCATTTTAGACATCAAAAAATAAAAATAGGACAGAAAAATGTGCTACAGTGATCAGTGATCCTGGAACTCAACTGATGAAGGGTGCATTCACCCAAACACCGTGTAGTTAGCACAAAGAGTGGTGCTTTCTTGCAGGTTTGCAATTCACATAAGAAAATTGAGGAAGAAAACTACTGTAAAATCGGTCTCGGAAGCCTTGATAAAGAAAGCCTGAACTCGTTTGTTTGAATACACCACCTCTCTGTCTCACTGCCTCGCCATCTCACCATCTCACTGCCTCGCTATTTCACCATATCACCATCTCACTGCCTCGCTGTTTCACTATTTCACTGCCTCGCTGTTTCACCATATCACCATCTCACTGCCTCGCTGTTTAACCATATCACCATCTCACTGCCGCGCTGTTTCACCATATCACCATCTCACTGCCTCGCTGTTTCACCATATCACCATCTCACTGCCTCGCTGTTTCACCATATCACCATCTCACTGCCTCGCTGTTTCACCATATCACCATCTCACCGCCTCGCAGTTTCACCATATCACCATCTCACTGCCTCGCTGTTTCACCATATCACCATCTCACTGCCACGCTGTTTCACCATATCACCATCTCACTGCCTCGCTGTTTCACCATATCACCATCTCTCTGCCTCGCTGTTTCACCATATCACCATCTCACTGCCTCGCTGTTTCACCATATCACCATCTCACTGCCTCGCTGTTTCACCATATCACCATCTCACTGCCTCGCTGTTTCACCATATCACCATCTCACTGCCTCGCTGTTTCACCATATCACCATCTCACTGCCTCGCTGTTTCACCATATCACCATCTCACTGCCTCGCTGTTTCACCATATCACCATCTCACTGCCTCGCTGTTTCACCATATCACCATCTCACTGCCTTGCTGTTTCACCATATCACCATCTCACTGCCTCGCTTTTTCACCATATCACCATCTCACTGCCTCGCAGTTTCACCATAATTATCACCATCTCACTGCCTCGCTGTTTCACCATAATTATCACCATCTCAATGGGTCGCTGTTTCACCAAATCAACATCTCAATGGGTCGCTGCTAGTTTCACCATATTATCACCATCTCACTGCCTCTATCTAACAACCACAAAATACTGCATCTTCATCGCACCAAAATCACGGAGAGAGGCGTGTACCACTTTCACATACACAGTTTTTTATTCACATACGTATACACAGTCATGTGTTCATAACTGTTATCTGACATAAGTGTGCCCAACGCTGCCACGCAAGTGCATGTGACGTCATGTGTGCATTGGGTTATGGCTCCTTGCTGGCGTTTCAGTCTGTTCTTTACGCTTCTGTTCTGGCAACTGGTGTCTGTTGTCATTGCTCTGTTCTGTTCTTACTGCTCCCTGCTATTCCTCTAAGTGCCATTCACACGGCTGTAGCATTGTGGCTATTACTCTAAGTGCCATTCACACGGCTGTACCATTGTTGCTATTACTCTAAGTGCTATTCACACGGCTGTAACATTGTTGCTATTACTCTAATTGCCATTCACATGGCTGTAGCAGTGTTGCTATTACTCTAAGTGCCATTCACACGCCTGTAACATTGTTGCTATTACTCTAAGTGCCATTCACACGGCTGTAGCATTGTTGCTATTACTCTAAGTGTCATTCACACGGCTGTAGCATTGTTGCTATTACTCTAAGTGCCATTCACACGGCTGTAACATTGTTGCTATTACTCTAATTGCCATTCACACGGCTGTAGCAGTGTTGCTATTACTCTAAGTGCTATTCACACGCCTGTAACATTGTTGCTATTACTCTAAGTGCCATTCACACGGCTGTAGCATTGTTGCTATTACTCTAAGTGTCATTCACACGGCTGTAGCATTGTTGCTATTACTCTAAGTGCCATTCACACGGCTGTACCATTGTTGCTATTACTCTAAGTGCCATTCACACGGCTGTAGCAGTGTTGCTATTACTCTAAGTGCCATTCACACGGCTGTAACATTGTTGCTATTACTCTAAGTGCCATTCACACGGCTGTAGCAGTGTTGGTATTACTCTAAGTGCCATTCACACGGCTGTAACATTGTTGCTATTACTCTAAGTGCCATTCACACGGCTGTAACATTGTTGCTATTACTCTAAGTGCCATTCACACGGCTGTAGCATTGCTGCTATTACTCTAAGTGCCATTCAAACGGCTGTAGCATTGCTGCTATTACTCTAAGTGCCATTCACACAGCTGTAATATTGTTGCTAATACTGTAATGGATATGGAAAACCGGTCGCATGCCTAGCGGCCCCAGGGCGCTGTCCATCAAGCCATCGGTTAGCAGTACATGCGTCGCTGGTCGCATGGCCGGATCAATCACGGTGCACTGCCGAGGGCGCCGGCCCCAATGATTCGACTGGAATTCCATGTCCACGGCATTAACTAAGACTGATCATGTAACACAGAGCACCACGCATCATCGTAGTAGCTAAGAGTTTCATGTCCAAACTCCATAGGTAATCATCAGACAACTATCAATTCTCCATCCCTTCAGATCAAACAAGGGTGAGCAGCAGCAAAAAACGTTTTGAAACATTTCTAAAAAATTAATATAGATGATAACACAAAACACCATAGCACGTGATAGAAAGGAAATAGCACCTCAGAAATTCTGCACATTCTTCATTGTACAAAAAAAACATAAAATGGCGTATTGCGGCACTTTGCAGCGAGACATTTTGCGGAAATACAATAGATTTTCAGAGAAAGGAAAAAGAGCACCCAGCCAACACAATCAATAGAATCATGCTGTGCACATCGAGAATAGGATTGTAACAATGAGAGTGATCCAAGTACAATGTAGATATATAACTCAGTGCAGGAGTTCATAAGCAAATGCATGCATACACACACGCATATACACGCATACACACACATACACACACTCATACACTACACACATACAGAGTCACACACGTATACACACACACCCACCCACCCACACACACACACACACACACTTGTACTTGTACTTGTTGCACACTGCCAAAACTGGTCACGTGGGTCTCCCCGGGAGAGGGGAGAGTGACTCAAAAGGAATCTTGGAAAGATGACTCAATTGGCTATTGAACCGCCCAACGGCCGACACCCCCTGAAATCCCCAAAACTCTGGGTGGACTTGAAAATGATCCCACTTATGGGCTCACCACACCTCAGTAAGTGGGTGAGGACAAGGTGCAGAAAAAGGATTGACGGCATCAGGGTAGCCGTCCTGGGATCCAACTGCAGTTACCCCTGCCCCCAGTGAAGGTAATACGTGCTACTAGTGTGGGTGACTAAATCAGAGTGGATCTGATATTAGCTTCACTAGCACCATTGATTACACAAGAGTTAATCTAGCCAGAAGCAGTCCATGGTTAACAGGTATGTATACTTCAAATAGAAAGTATATGAACCCTGGAACCAACAAAGGTGGCAGGTACAACATTACACCTTCAAGTAGCCGAGACCGTTGGCAACAGACCCAACACAATCAGACATAAGTGTACCCACCAACCGAACTAGCTGGCACACACACACACACACACACACACACACACACACACACACACACACACACACACACAAACAAATGCACACACACATACACACATATGCAAGCACGCATTCAATCATGCAAGTATGATAAACAGTAATTGGCAATGTTCATCAGTTCATCATCTTAATCAGGCATGTTGGAACTGCTCCAGTCGGTCAGGACTTGGCTGGATCTACTGTTGGACTGCACAATACATGTTAGCTACTGGCATGGTTATGCATACTCGGTGTGTCACACAACCAAAACTGAAATACTATAGTAAAGCCTGAGCAAACAAAACTGCTAATACTGGTCCTGTTCATGTTTCACATCAGTGAGAAACATTAGTGTAGAACAAGAAACAAGATGCTCCAGGACAAAAGTTAGAACTTTGTGATACAGTGTTTGCCGGAGTTACTAACATACACTGTACCACTGGGTGATACTGCAATGCCGTACGGACGAGAAAGACAACTGCTTGCACCGAAGGTAGCAACGTGAGAGAATGTGTCAGAAGCGAACACCTAACAGGGTATCACAATGGAAACACACACACACACACACACACACACACACACACACACACACACACACACACAAACACACACTCACACACACACACACACACACACACACACACCGGCGTACACACAACACACACACACATACATACCGGTATACACACATACACACATACACACACGCCCACACAAACACACCCACCACATACATACAAAGTCATATACTTCAGAAGTACACATACATTACGATAGAATAGAATATACCCATCCAGAGATGATAGAAGGTCCCGAAGGGACCAACAGTGTTCGAGTCATGAGCAGAATCGGGTTTGGCACACAAGAACGCGAACGCGCCCCAACACACACACATACACACATACACACATAAAAACACGCACCATGCACACACATGCACTAATGCACACTCACACACATACCGTACTTTGCAGATCACACTGGGGTATAAGTCACACTGGGGTATAACCCAAATTCTTTTCCACAAAATGCAGCCATCAACCTTAGTAATTTATTACTGATCATCGGAGTATAAGCTGCAACCCACATTTTTGAGTGTATTTTGAGCGTTGGAAGTGCGGCTTATACATGTACACTGGAAAATACGGTATACACACAATGAGACAAATTTTATCAGTAAACCTTCTTGCATTTTTACAGTCAATCTTGATGATGCCCAGGGCCGAAATATTTTTTATATTCTTTATTGCAGTTCAGAGACCGTATGTGTGTGTGTGTGTGTGTGTGTGTGTGTGTGTGTGTGTGTGTGTGTATGTGTGCGTGTGTGTGTGTGTTGAGCAATCCTTCATTTTCTTGCAGGCCTAAAAATACAAACTTTATACCAAAGTATACGGTTTGGCCTCTTTTGTCTGTGCTGCACTGGCGAGTCCACTAGGCTGTGTTGACATGAGGCGTTTTAGCCAGGGTCAAGTTTTAACCCACCATGAACACAGATTGACTGAAGCGTTAATATGCAGCATTGCGCTTGATCCGGGTTGAAATTTCAAAGGGGGTGGATTTCAACCCTCCCCTCGGGGGACGGTTGAAATCTAGAAATCTTACTACCGCACTTTTGTGCGTATCTCGCGCCAAGTTTGAACAGCACGGCACAGGAACATTTTGCGCGAATGCTTTCACGTGACTATAGTTATAGGACTCAGGAACTTAGTAGAAGTGGACTTTTGGCGGCAAATCAGTATTGACGAGAGTCAACTGTCTTGATGTGAACACCCACTTATTTGTTCTCTTGTACAGACTTTCAACCCGGGTTGAAAATTCTCATGTAAAACAAGCCTACGGGCAAAACAATTCTGCCCGCAGATTGAGTATCGGATTTTCTGGGGTGTTCCGCACTTTGAAATGCATACAAAAACTGAAAAATCACCCCTGCAGCTAAGACTGGGAAAGCTAGGGATGACTACCAGCGCTACAGCACTCTATGAATATACTGCATGCATGGTTGTTGCGGCCCTGTGGCCATGGTAGACAAGATTTCCTTCGAACCATTACTTGTTCTTGTTCTTTACAAAGTGGAATAAAAACTGAAACTCAAGAGTTCTGAAAAGCAAAGCGTGACATGCATACATGTAGCCTCAAGCAGAAAAGCTGGCCGCGCAAAAGGAAACATGCAGCCAAAAAGATGCCTAGCTCTGGCGTACATCGTAGACGTCACTGCGCATCCGGTGCACTGCGCCCCAAAGGTGCAGGCACGGCGCCCCAAGGAGTGACGACATACATAAACTGCATCGCGTCATGCAGATAGAGCGATAGCGTACAAAGTACAAACAAAACAAAAATAACTGAGAGAAGCGAAAATAAATAAATTGAAGAGAAGAAGCGAGAGAGAGAAGAGTGAAGGAATTTAATTCTAATTATTTAGAGCTGGACAGATATCGTCAAGGAGACATGCAGATACACAATAGAATTGACTCGACTGCATGTAGAGTAGCTGCCTCTAACTGCAGCAGAGTGGAGCACGCAGGTACGTGATCAACTCGGGAATAGTGAAAGGTGAGAGAGACAAAATACAAATAAATTCGAACGAGCAAATACAATAATTGTGAATTCATGTGCAAGGGTCTGTAACATTCTCCCCCCTGGTAACAGGGAACGGATGACCTGTTACAAGTCACAAACAAAGTTAGCGTAGCACGTCCAGCTTGGCAAGCTTAACGACTGGGCGCCGGTACAGTCCAGACTTGGTGCGCACATCTGCCACCCGCACAACGCCATCACTGCCCGGGTGTACAGCCTCTAGTCGGCCCCGAGGCCACTGCCCTCGTGGCTGGTTGCTGTCGACGACCACCACGACATCACCTACAGCCAGTGACGGTGTGCCGTCCTGCCACTTCCTCCGCCTGGTGAGTTCTGGCCGGTATTCTAAGATCCACCTCTTCCAGAATTCGTCGGTGATCTTCTGTGCAATCCGCCAGTGTTTCCTCAGGCACAAATCAGCATCTACAAACACGCCTGGCCGACTAGTTGCACTACTGGACCCAATGAGGAAGTGGTTGGGTGTGAGGGACTCTTCATCATCAGGATCTACTGAGACGTGAGTCAGCGGCCGACTATTCACGAGTTGCTCGGCTTCAGTGAAGACTGTGGCTAGTACTTCTTCTGTCACGACACGCTCCTTCATGACGGATTTCATAGCGATCTTCACTGCTCTGACGAGGCGCTCCCAGCTTCCACCCATGTGGGGAGCAAGTGGCGGGTTGAAGTGCCATGAGATGCCCTTACTGGAACACTCAGCAGCTAGTCGGTCTTGGCGGAAATCTTCCAATGCCGCCTTCAGCTCCCTGTCAGCTCCTCGGAAATTGGTTCCATTATCCGAGTGGATTTCTTGGGGGCAACCTCGCCGGGCGCACATTCGCCTGATTGCCATGATGGCACTATCAGTGTTCAGAGAGTGAGCCACTTCCAAATGTACAGCGCGGGTACTCAGACATGTGAACAACGCACCGTAGCATAGTTCGCGGCGCCTCCCGATCTTGATGTGCAACGGCCCGAAATAGTCCAGCCCGGTGAACGTGAATGGTCGCAGGAACGGGGTCAAGCGCTGGACAGGTAGATTTCCCATTACAGGTGGCTTGGGATTGGCTCGTTGGTTCTTGCAGTACTCAGACCATGCTCGCTTCACAGCTGCTCGACCTGTCGTCACCCAGTACTGCTGGCGAAGCTCATTCAATGTCCTCTCGTGTCCATGATGGCCAGAACGCAGATGGTATTCATGGACTAGGATCTGTGTGTACCTATGCTTCGGACACAGGATAGCCGGATGTTTCGCACTGTACGCCATTTCCGTCGCATGTGTGAGGCTACCCTGAACCCGCAGGATCCCGTCCTCATCAATGGCTGGTGCTAGCTGTCGTAGACGACTGCTGGTGCTGACAGGCTGGCCATCGCTCAACAAAGCCACTTCTTCGGCAAAACACTCTGCCTGCACCGATTGCATCCAGAGCTGCTCGGCCGCATCCATTTCCTTGGCTGAGATGGCTGCAGTTGATCCGACAGTTTGGCCGCGAACTCTGGCCCGTGTGTTTGCGATGAACCTGGCAACATACGCGGTTGTGCAGATGAGACGTTTCCATGACGAGAATCGGTTGACGTCAGGCAGCGCTTCGGCAATTTGCTGGGGCCTTGGCGGGGATGTTGTCGCCGCAACAAACTCCTTCTTTATTTTGGTCGTGTCGATGCACTCATCCGACTCTGGCTGCGAGATGTGGTAGATCGCCTCCGGCTCGAGTTGATCTTGGTGAGTCCGAGCTCCAATGCGACCGTGCACTGCCCAACCAAGAAGGGTTCTCGTCAGCATAGGTGCATTTGGCGGGCCTTCGACGACTTCACGTGCCACTGTGAGGTGTCCGTTGTCTTGCCCAATGAGCATCCTCGGTTGTACTGCTGGGTATGACGCCACTCTGGAGTCATCTAAATGAGGCCATCGACTCGCCAGCCGTCTGCCATCCATTGACTGCGAATGCAACTTGAGGTCCTTGGCTGTTCTCACATCATCCATTTAATGCTGGGTGCCATCGCTGCCATTGACCAATACAGAGACCCTACATGACGAGTTGTCCGTGTGTGTCGTCGAATTCGTCCATGCCATATGCAGGGGATCCAACTGTCCAACAGCACCGATGTCATCCGCTAAGGCCTTGTCGATTAGCGTGACAGTTGAGGCTTCGTCCAGCAGAGCATGTGTCTCCACACAGCCCTTTGGGCCACTAACCGTCACTGGCAACACTCTCAGCAACACTCGGGTTGTACCAGGAATACCAGTGTGCCCACAAGTGTCGACTGGCTTCTCTGCGGCCTTGCCCTTGTGCAGGAGCACGTGATGGTGGTACTTGCAGTCAGGCTCACTGCACTGCTTCCTGCTGCCACACTCCCTGGTAGCGTGTCCACTGGCCAGGCAAGAAAAGCAAAGACGATGACGTTTTACCAGCTCAAAACGGGCTTTCTGGCCAAGCTTCGTGAATGTTGAACACTTACTGAGGGCATGCTGCACTTGTTTGCAGCAAAGGCAGGCTGACTGAGTTTTACTGGTTGTACTTGCTGGTGCCGTCGCTGCTGCTGTGCTGTGTACTGTCGAAACTTCCTGGTGACTGTACACCCGCTGCGTCTTGTCGGTTCGGGTACCCGGCAGATCCACGACGCGCACAGCTGCTTCAGCCTTGTCCGCCAGCCACAAAGAAAACACTCGCAAGCTGATGTCATGGCTACCCTGACGCACAAGTACTTCTCCCCACTGCAGTCGCAGGGATGTTGGCAACCTACCAACAAGCTCTTGACGTAGCTGAGGGTTACACATGTGACCTTCACTTCGAAGGTGCTCCATGGTAGTAACTAGAGTCGTCACAGCAGTGGACAGGTTGATAAGACTATCAAAGTCTCCTGGCTTGACCTGTCCAATGGCCTTGGCTTTCCCGATCATGGCAGCAATCACAGCATCCGGTCGACCAAACCGGCTTTCCAGGACCTGGAGTACCGTCGGCAGGTTCTCCGGCACGGTGAGCATCGCTCCGACGGCAGCCTTGGCGTGTGCAGTGTGGCGTGTGCAGTGACGGGTTTCTGGGTCTCTACCCAATGCCTAGTAGCTGTCAAGGCCGACTTTCCCGGAAGTTTACAGACTGTTTCTAATCGGGGCTGAGATGAGCTTTCTTCTACTTTATTCTCCTGGCCAGAGCTGATCAACGACGCTGCTGATCGGGTAGTCGACGATGCCAACAACGGCCTCAAATGCTGCGTCGGCGCACTGGATGCAGGACGAGACGATCGTCGCGAACGAGAGGACGAGGTGCTGTCGATTTGGGCATGGCGCGCCTCCAACTCCAATTCAAGCAAACGCCTCTGCCTGTCCAGTCGTTCTTGCGCATCCGCCTCCTCAATTGCCATCAAACGTCGTGCCATCTCCAAATTGGCCTCCGCTTTTTGCCGTTTAACGGAGGAGGACGATCTCATCGATGAGGCGAGTGAGGCAGGGGATGCTGGCAACTCCAGCTCAGCAGCCTGCTCGGCGACATCGGCCATATCCGTTTCGCCCTTACCTCTACGATTTCGCAGCAACATTGCTGTGTTTCTGTAATCTGAAGACTGTATATTTCTTTAGAACTGCTCATCCGGCTCGAAGGACCATGTTGCGGCCCTGTGGCCATGGTAGACAAGATTTCCTTCGAACCATTACTTGTTCTTGTTCTTTACAAAGTGGAATAAAAACTGAAACTCAAGAGTTTTGAAAAGCAAAGTGTGACACGCATACATGTAGCCTCAAGCAGAAAAGCTGGCCGCGCAAAAGGAAACATGCAGCCAAAAAGATGCCTAGCTCTGGCGTACATCGTAGACGTCACTGCGCATCCGGTGCACTGCGCCCCAAAGGTGCAGGCACGGCGCCCCAAGGAGTGACGACATACATAAACTGCATCGCGTCATGCAGATAGAGCGATAGCGTACAAAGTACAAACAAAACAAAAATAACTGAGAGAAGCGAAAATAAATAAATTGAAGAGAAGAAGCGAGAGAGAGAAGAGTGAAGGAATTTAATTCTAATTATTTAGAGCTGGACAGATATTGTCAAGGAGACATGCAGATACACAATAGAATCGACTCGACTGCATGTAGAGTAGCTGCCTCTAACTGCAGCAGAGTGGAGCACGCAGGTACGTGATCAACTCGGGAATAGTGAAAGGTGAGAGAGACAAAATACAAATAAATTCGAACGAGCAAATACAATAATTGTGAATTCATGTGCAAGGGTCTGTAACAATTGTGTTGTTCAGCTACTCTTCATGTACTGCAGCCCATCATTATACTGGTGCAAAGCTTCTTATTGTACATGTTGCCAGTTCTGAGTGAACGGCAAAGTAGACAACCTTTGTAGAACTTCGGTCATGTTTCTCAACCTTTTAACCATTTTATGGTTTATTCTGATAACCATCTTAAAGTTTGGTTGCCAAAACATTCAAAATCTGACGGGCAGGTGGCTTATACAGCAGATGGCAATACAAAATACAGATGGTGGACCTGGAAAGGCGGGTGCGGCTTAGACTCCCGTGAGCCCAACACACCGTAATATTCGGCATTTTGCTCCTGCTCTTGTACTGCCGTACGATCGTGGACATGGAAATCCGGTCACATGTCTAGCGGCCCCTGGGCGCTGGCCATTCAGCTGTGGATAAGCATTACAGACATGCATTACATGTACATGTACATGTTGATGTAGATGCATTGCAGTGCACTGGTCACTGCAGTGCACTGGTCACTGCAGTGCACTGGTCACTGCAGTGCACTGGTCACTGCAGTGCACTGGTCACTGCAGTGCACTGGTCACTGCACTGCACTGGTCACTGCAGTGACCAGTGCAGTCCAGTGCAGTTCACTGCAGTGACCAGTGCACTGCAGTGACCAGTGCACTGGTCACTGCAGTGCACTGGTCACTGCAGTGCACTGGTCACTGCAGTGCACTGGTCACTGCAGTGCACTGGTCACATCAGATCAACATGACTGTTTCACACAACGTTCTGTACGCACTGAGGACGCCGGCCCAGGTCAATCCACTGGGTTTCCATGTCCAGAACTGTAGTAGGTGAGCAATTTCGTGCGGGATAGTGCCTTTGCTGTTTGCCTGCGTTATGCACAGATCACTGACGTGTCAATTTGAGCACTCTTGCAACGTGCTTTTGGACCTTATTTAAATCTGGCTTTGGAAAATATTTTTTCATTGCTACATATATCAGGTTCGCCCACATTTTCCCTTTGCTGCGCTGACGAGTCCACAAAGGACCACAGAGTATGCTGTCTACAGATTGAGGTTATCCGAATCCTAGTATACTAGAGTAACCATCTCACTATGAACTTGGAATGGAGGAACTGTCAACGCCATTACTTCCCTTGGGTGACAGTTTTCAGGATTTGAAATGAAGGTGCCCACAGTTGTCGCAAAGTAATGTGTGATGCCATGCCGAACTAGATCTCCACTTGTACATTCATCGTCAAAACATAGTCAAGCCTGTGTCCTGGTCGATCGACATACACTTTAGCTGTTCCGATGTCGGGTGCACTAATGCCTTGTGAACTTGGACACCGGAGCTGCACACATGGGTATGTCGTGCAAAAGGAGAATGCCAAAAGGTAGAGAGCGAAAACAGCACCACGTCACCTTCGGTGGGCGATCACAAAACCAACCCGAGCCAAGAAGAACCGTAACCAGGTGAATGTAATTCTTCTGATAACGATGAATCCGCTAAAGATGAAGGTGACAAGCTCCCCTCATCTTTCCTTTCAGAGCCACATGTGCAGCACTGCAACCTTCGGTACAACAACATTTTTTTCTATCATCACAAGACAAGTCTAGGAATCTTTACGTGACAGTTCCTCTTAAAATTCAATGGCAAACTCCCACCAAAAATTCATTTGAATTAGATTTGCTCATGACAAGCAAGCTGGCCCTGGGTTCAAGTTCTGGTGGGTCTGGCATTTTTCTCTCTTTTCAGGCAGCTTACTTCCCCGACCGATCTTTTGACTTTGAAGTTCTCCCGATCCTTTCAAAATGAAGACGATTTAATCTTGCTTTTCACCCGTACAACCTGTGACATGTATGTCACTTTTTACGGAAAAGTTACATTAATAATGATGTAGTTACAAGGCTGTGCTGGGCTTACAACCAATTTTCTTGCATTACAATTGCCGACGTTGCTACCACTGTTTTTTACTGATATTCCCAGTACAACTTTTTGACAAGCTGGTTTGGAGGTGACAGTGTTGTGAATGATCGAGACTCCTCAACGTCTGTTCTTACCTTCCAGGAGCAATACTGACTTACACTGCTATCTGGTGTTCACGAGGTGTTTGTCGTGCTGGAAATGGAGTGTTTCTATAAATGTGCGCATCTGGTGATGGTCTGGATTGCAGAGGAGAGCTCTATAGTGGTAGTCTTAAAAACAATCTTCTTCAGCCTACTCAAGCTCAACTAATGAGTATATAGACACTGTCCCTGATGGCATAGCTCACATCACGTGGTCCACAGCTACAGCAGCTATGTTGTCTATTCATGCAAATGCAACAGGGGTCATTGTGCACAAAGTCCAGGGTTTGCTGATTGGCTGAAGATGTTCTTCGCATTCCGCCAGATATTGCTTTCATTTCGCTGCTTTTTGTTCACTAAAACCCCCTGGATATGTACGAAGGGCGACAATAAAGTGTTCTACCTGGCCCAAAAGAAACCGTATATCACTGGTTTCTTTTTTCTAATTGTCACAATAACCACACTGCAAATGAATGTATTTCTCTCAGCAATGGCTCGATTGTCATCAATCCACCTCAGTAGAAGGTTTTCATCTTGCCAGTCTAGCACATGGTGAGACTTCTCAATTTAAAATGGCCAAATGCATTGCAATTACAGCTTCACACTCTTGCCACAGGGTATGATGTATCTTGGCAACAGAAGTAGTGCTAGAAGCAAAAGGGTAAGACAAACTTATCACTAATTAGCTTACTTGAACACGGTGGTTCTCAGTGACCAGGATGTGTCCATGCCTATCCTCGGCAATGTACTTAGGATACTTGAACTGACCATCTGACTCTCCCTCTGATCCGAACATGGTAATGAAGTTTCCATCAGTAGTGAAAACCTGCATGAAAACGAAATGTATTTAAAACTCTACACTGTGATGACTATGTCCTTCAACAGTTCAATACTGTGTACAGGTCATCCCTCGTTAGTAGATAATCTATGGCAAGTTGGAACATAGAAAAAGTCTTATAACGAGACTTATCTTATTATTACACATCCACGCACACACACACACACACACACACACACACACACACACACACACACACACACACACACACACACACACACACACACACAAAGCACACACACACACACACATACACACACACACACACACACACACACACAAAGCACACACACACAATGCACACACACATAGGAACCTCGGTCTCATCTTGAATGAAACAAAGACACAGATCATGCCGATATCGCCAGTACAATCTCAAACATTTGACTTGCGAGTGCAATGTAATGGAGTGCCTCTGCCAACTGTTCGCTCTGCGAAATATTTCGGTCTCCACTTTGAGGCAGACATGAGCTGGAACACTATGGTCGACCACGTCGCACGTGGCGTCGCGTCAAAAGTCGACGGCTTAATGGGCTCTTCAAGCGTGCTGTACGCACAGTCTGTCGGGTACCTCCCGGGACACCCACAAGCAATATTCTTACACGCATGAACATCCAAACATTGACCACACTGGTACTTGTACTTGTTGCTCACAGCCAAAACTGGTCACGTGGGTCTCCCCGGGACAGGGGAGAGAGACTCAAAAGGAATCTTGGAAAGATGACTCAATTGGCTATTGAACCACCCAACGGCCGACACCCCCTAAAGTCCCCAAACTAGGGTGGACTTGAAATGATCCCACTTATGGGCTCACCACACCTCAGTAAGTGGGTGAGGACAAGGTGCAGTAAAAGGATTGACGGCATTCGGGTATCCGTCCCGGGATCCAACTGCAGTCACCCCTGCCCCTAGTGAAGGTAATGCTTGCTACTAGTGTGGGTGGCTAAATCAGAGTGGATCTGATAAAAGCTTCACTAGCACCATTGATAACACAAGAGTTAATCTAGCCAGAAGCAGTCCATGGCTAGCAGGTATGTATACTTCAAATAGAAAGTATATGAACCCTGCAACCAACAAAGGTGGTAGCTACAACAATACACCTTCAAGCAGCCGAGCGCGTTGGCACCAGACCCAACACTATCTGGCATAAGTGTACCCAACCGAACCAGCTGGACCACATACGCCAACATGCACCTTCTGGTTTTTATCTGGCGTTGTCTCCATGACTCCTCTAACATCAGCATGTTGTTCGCTAACTTTTTCAGCCGCAGTAATTCCACTCAAACTCGTGGTGGGAACAGCAATCTACTGATTGTCCCAGCCAGCCCAACTGCATATCTTGCCAAACGTGTTACCTATGCTGGGACCATCTTATGGAACCAGCTCCCGGCTACGGTCAGGCAAGAAAGAAAACACAATCGCTTTAAGTCAATGGCTCTTGCCTTTTTGCTTGCCAGATAAATAAGCCTCTTTACAAATGCTGTATGCCCTGCTCGTTTCGTTATTTTCTTCCTGTGCACTCGGCAAGTCGCAACTCCTGTTTTGAGTTGTTTTTCTTCTCTCTTTTTCTTTCCCTACTAGTTGCTGTTACACTCACTGATCCGCTAGACTTATGCACAGATATACAGCATTCCCTCACTAGTGGGACCATTGTTATTAGGCTAGGGCCTGTTTTGGACTTCCCACTCTAAATAAGGAATACAAACAAGCAAACAAACATACAAACACACGCACACATACAGTACTCACTGGATTAAAGCTGGGGATTGTATTTTTTCAATACCAATTTTTACGAGGCATATATTTAAGAGGGGCTTCTATTCGAGAGGGGCTTCTAATCGAGTGAGTACGGTACGCACAATCACACACTTACATACGTGTGTGAGCCCCCCCCCCTACACACACTGAGACTCCGACTCCGACATGTCCATCGTGTGAGCGATGATAGCGAACGGCTATATTAGACATAACAACTTGTGCAGGCATTACACCATTCAGCAGCCTGCAAGGCTGATGAATTGACCGCCACTAATCCTGGTCTACACCACACAGCTGATTGAAGTAGCTTTTTCTGTCCAGTGAACCCCTTTTTTGCTTTTTTTGCTTTTTTCATACACACACCACACCACATGTTCTGGCATGCACTGTCTATTGGTAACCACACAGGAGAATGAACGAAGAGCTAGGTAAGTGAGAAAGAGAAGAATGACATGTGTGACCATAATCGTCAGGAATTGAACCCGGAACCTTGTAGTGACCTGACTCCTATTACGTCACTTCATACATAAGCATGCGCAAGAAATACAATCACTGTCTTTGGCCTCAACTTCTTTGTTGTCCGGTTGGCCATTGTGGCTGTCGTCTAGGGCCCGACGTAAAACCCCTAAATTGGTGACCCCGACATGCACTCCTCGGAGTTTTTATCCTGCCACCACCACCTCCACCGTCCGTACCAGCTCAACAGTGCACACACGCCGGCATACGCACGGCTCACAGGACTTACAAGTGGAGCTGTGCACGCCTCCATCAGTCCCCACCTCAACCGGCACACCTCGCCCCAATGCAGTGCTCATGCTGGTACCCCGCCAAGCCTGCAACATGCAGCCGCCTCTGACATGGAAATACTCCTCTGTTACGCGTACGTTTCCTCTTTTCTTTCTTTCTGCCTCTGACATGCCCCCCACCTCTGTCACGTTAACACACCGCTGACACGTTAACCCGCCTCTGTCAGGCATCTCTCTGTTTTCCACTTCCTGCTCTTTGACTTTTGTTTCGGTCTTTCTTGCCACGTTGTCAACAAATTTCAAAAACACACATCGCTCTCTTGTGCATATTGTATTATATTTTATATTGCCTTTCCGCCTTGTACATGCCACGCTTCCTTTCTCTCTCTTTTACTTGTTAACCGTGCTTTACTCCTCCCGACCTCACCAGTGGCAGGGGAGTACTGTAGCAACCTGACTCCTATTACGTCACTTCTTATGTATGCATGCGCAAAAAATAAAATCATTGTCTTTGGCCTCAACTTCTTTGTTGTCGGGTTGGCCATTTTAGCGGTCGCCTAGGGCCCGATGTAAAACCTCTAAAACCTCACGATTGGAAATTGTCTGCACATACCACTGCACCATATGGTGCACGCACGCACGCATGCGCGCGCACACACACCCACACACACACTCACACACACTCTCTCTCACACACACACACACACCGCAGGGGCGTCGGAAGGTAATTTAGTGTGGTACACTCAGCCATCTGAAGTACAATTTACTCGTGGGGGAGGGTGGCCGAGCCGAAATTTTGGAAAATTAGAGCCCAAATCAGTACATTATCTTGATCCACGGGTGCTTTGGGCAAATAGTGGTACGGTCAGTACCGTAGTGACCGTACCATGTGCGACGCCCCTTCACACACACACACACACACACACACACACACACACACACACACACACACACACACACACACACACACACACACACACACACACACACACACACACACCCACGCACACACACACACACACACACACATACACATACACACACATGCACGCACGCACACACGCACACACACACACACACACACACACACACACACACACACACACACACACACACACACACACACACATACACACACACGCACGCACACACGCACGCACGCACACACACACACGCACACCTTTGACCTTGACCTTAGCGTAGCAATGCTACGGCAGAAGCCATAGCAACTTGTGCTGGGATTGCACCATTTAACAGCTTGCAATTCTGAAGAATTGACCGTCACACGCACACACACACACACACGCACACAATACAATACAATACAATACAATATGCCCATCCGGAGATGATAGCAGGTGCCGAAGGGACCAACAGTGCTCAAGTCACCAGCAGAATCGGGCGTGGCGAGTCAGGTTCTGGCGACGGCGATAGCGCTTTCCACAAGTGCAAACAAAGTCTAAGGTGACGGGCTTGGTCGGAAGAATGGTGCTGCATGCTGATCTCCGTTCTCTGCGATCCTGGGCGAGGTCGTACCAGGCCGCTATCTGGCGGTCCTTCATGTCGGACACCACATTGTCCCGCCACCGCTTCCGGAGCCCATGACCTGGCCGGGTCTTGTCCAGTTCACACGCGCACGCGCACACACACACACACCTTCTTCCTTCCTTCCTTCTTCTCCACTGCCATGACTGGCTAAGTGGCCCCATACGGGGCAGCTCTTGGATTAGCGCTGTCTCCGGGAAGCGGCACCAGGACCCGACGACTGACGTGACGGCGCATTCCCACGGGTTATAATTGCTATTGAACGCCGCGATGTACAACGATGCCGTGCGATATCCTGACGGCGGCGGAAACTGCGGTTGCACACACCGCAAAGCAGAGGCTTGTCGACAGGCTCTTGACGGGCAAGTACAATACGATCCACCCCATCAAGGCACTGGGACTTCCACTCACGGCGATTACTTGCCACGTCGAGCCAGGAATTGGGCTCAATGCCAATTGCCGCCAGGTCGGTCCGCACCACGTCCTTCCATCGCTTCCTCGGACCATGGGGCGGGCGCTTCGATGGCAAGGAGCCAAACAACAGCTGACGAGGGATGCGGTCGCCCCTCGGCATACGTGCCATATGGCCCAGCCACTGCAGCCGCCGCCTGCGAATCTTGTCAGCCGGCTGCTCCAAGTCGCCCCACCATTTCCGCACCTGCAAATTGGAGATGTGCTCATCAATCTGGCGTGCACGACCGATGTGCAAGATCATCCTCAAGCACTGATGGTGAAACACGTCAAGCCGCTGCAGGTCCCTTTGCCATGTTGTCCAAGTCTCAGAACCATACAGGAGGACAGCCAGAACAGTGACGCCATAGACTACACGCTTGATGCCGATGGTGAAGTCCGAGTTGTAGAACACTGCATCCTTCAAACTGTGGAAAGCGCCCGATGCAGCAGCAATCCTACGCGACACATCATAGGGACACCTGGCAT